TATATATATATATATATTTTATCTCCTAACTACAGACTTCTAGTTTTGGAAGGTATGAAATGAAAATTATGCTGCATAACCACAAAACTGTCCATAACAATATTAAACAATATATTTCATGGATTGAAGACAGTAGGATCTATGCTCACTTAATGAATAAATATCCACTGATTAACTTATGAAAAAGAAATTATGATCACCTAGAAATTACAGAACTGAGGCAGTCACTGTAAACATAGCTGACATAATGGGAGAACAAAGCCTAAGAGAATCCATGCATCATCACACCCTCTTTTCACAGCAAAAGATAGAAAAGGAGACCCTTAAAAACTGATTTCAGAGGCCGGGCATTGGTGGCGCACGCCTTTAATCCCAGCACTCGGGAGGCAGAGGCAGGCAGATCTCTGTGAGTTCGAGACCAACCTGGTCTACAAGAGCTAGTTCCAGAAAAACCTTGTCAAAAAAAAAAAAAAAAAAAAAAAAAAAAAAAAAAAAAAAAAAAAACTGATTTCAGGGCTGGAGAGATGGCTCAGCGGTTAAGAGCACTAACTGTTCTTCCAGAGGTTCTGAGTTCAATTCCCGGCAACCACATGGTGGCTCACAACCACCTTGAATGAAATCTGGTGCCCTATGCTGGCAAGCAGGCAGAAGACTGTATACATAATAAATAAAATCTTAAAAAAAAAACTGATTTCATCAGAACATTGTGAGTCAATGTTCATGACAAAGCCTGGTTTCTTGATGGATCTCAGGCCTCCCACTCTGTCCTTTCCCACCCCCTCCATTTCTTTCTTTCTTTCTTTTTTTTGAAGTGTACATTTCATTTATTTATTAGATAGTTATTTGTTATGAAATTTTGGTTATCTTTTTTTAATCAGTTTTTATTTGAATTAGAAATAACATTGAATTATATGACAATCCCAGTTCCCTTCTCTCTCCCCTCCTCCCCTACCACCCCCCCAACTAAAACCCTACCTATCACATATCCTTTCTTCTAATCACCTGACTCAACCTTTCTGCTCCCTCATGACCTCTGCATCCTTTCTCTCCTTCCCTTCTCATTCTCGTAGCTCCCTCCCCCCTCTTCCCATGCTCTCAATTTGCTCAGGGGATCGTGACCCTTTCCACCCCCCTCCATTTCTACACACCTGTTTGCATGGCAGCTGATGCTTGCCTCTTCTTATCTGAAGGCCCGTGACTGTGCTCCAGAAATGTGACTGGGTATGGCTTAGAGGAAGCAAGACCTGTTAATGGGAAAAGAGAACACCACTATTAGTGTGATCTCTGGAGACCTCATGTCCTCTCTAGGACTGTGTGTGTATAAGTAATGAGAAGAGACAATCAAGGATTGTAGAGGATTAGTTCTTCAGGTGTTTCTGGAGGACACGGCAGATGCTTATGAATTTAGGATTTGCAGGTCCTGACCTTCATGTCCCTCAGTTACAAAGATACTATTAAAAACTGAAGAGTGTGACATTCTTTTTAACATGTATGCTTCCCACTCACCCCACTTACTTTATAACATTACCACCAATATAAAGGATACTTGTGAAAAGGAAGGGGGAGCTATGAACACAGGAAGAAACAACATCATTCTAAGGTGTATGAATACTCTCCTTAATTTTCCTTAAAATTTACCCCATGAATTTCATTGTTGGAAGCACAAGCTCCCATGAGATACTTTACAGTTTGATGCTGAGAGTTAATTAAGAGTTCACCATGGAAGTCTTCCTCACCCATGATGTAGAATATTATTATAAAGTGTGTTACTCATGTTTATGGTCTGGAATGTTTGTTTAATGATGTAAGGATGTGTTTGAATACAATAAAATTCACCTGTGTCAGGAGGCTGAGTCAGCAATTAGCTGACAGGAAGTTGGATGGGCGTAGCCAGGTGAAGAAGGGTTTTAAGTAGGGGTGAAGAGAAGAAGGGGGCCTTTTTGAGTGAAATCAGGAGAGGAGATGAGCTTCTTGCTCTTCAGTCTCTCTGAGGAGCAGAATTCCACCTCAACCTTTGAATCTTGAGTTCTTTAGAGGGACAGACATTTAGATAAATTCCCTTCCTAGCTTTGAAAGACTCAGTGCCTAAGGGAACAGAATTCCCCCAGGCTGCTGCTCTTGTGTCCTAACAGCTGCTGGTAGTGGAGGAGATGCAATTCCTGATTAGAACAGCCTTGGTTTAAAAGGCAGCAACAATTTTAAAACAGAGCAACACACCCAGGAACATGAGGTGGCTGTAATTCTCCAATATCACATCCCTGTACTGATTCCACTGATCCAAGCACAGGCATTCACGCTCCTCTGCAGAGAAATCAATGGCCACATCCCTGAATGACAGCATTTCCTGAAATATAGAAAAAAGAATGAAGTCAATACATTATACTAATTAAAACTGACAATAAAAACATAAATATCAAGAGGCATATGTGTTTCTGGACATAATTGTAAAAGTGATGCAGAGTGAGAGGAGACCCACAAGTGCTTCTGATATAAAAGAGCAATATCCCTGAAATAAGTATGATGTGGTTCCATAATGTTGTACAGAACTCATGATTAAGGAAACTGAATGGCAGAAGGTCTCAGAAACTCCCATGGATATTACACATTTAAGATCCATAAAATGGAAAGCGAGTGTATCTACAGAAGAGTATGTTGGGGCTGGAGAGATGGCTCAGTAGTAAACAGCACTGGCTGCTCTCCCAAAGGACCTGAGCTTCATTCCCAGCAGCCACATGACTGCTCACAACTGTCTGTAACTCCACTTCCAGAGGATCAGACATGGACACTAGCAAAACAACCATGCACACTACATAATTAAATAATACAATTTTGAAACAAAACATGCGTTTTGTCCCATGCTCATATAAGACACCACACAGAATGTATGTTCTCACAGTAGAGAGCCATGGCAATGGGGGGGACGCTTCTCACCCCAATCACAAGTGATAAACACAATGAAGATGCAGATCTGATCCAGCAATTTTGGGCTGAGGCCTGGCTTCCTGAGCATGTACAGTGTGATGCAAATGACAGTGCAACAGAGGACATGACTGTCAGCCACCAAGGGGCACAACAATAAATGAAGCGCTTGTAGACAAATTGGAATAACAAGTATTTTAACAAATACATGGTTAGGAAATTTAGCAATAAGTTTAATCATTGTGGGGACTTAACACTGACCCAAGACTCTCAGAGGCCCTGGTGAAAGGACAAAGAGAATGACACAAAAAGTACAGCTTACAGAAAGCGTTAGAGGAACCAAAAATGTTAAGCATGCAGGATTGTCTTCAAGTGAAGGAAATGACCCATGTCTGTTCCCTAGGAAGCTGGAGTGGATGTTGTCTAACAACCTGGTGATCTTCTGCTAGTCTCTGGATCCCACTGCACCTGAATCTCACCCCGCCCCACCCCAAATCCTGAGCATTGTCCAGGCGCTCATTCTGAGCTTTGTCTCCCATCCTTATGAAAGCAGTCCCATGAAAAGTGCATCCTCAGTCTATAATACCCGTGCTTATGCTTATTACAAATCTGTCCTTCTCCTGGCCTCACCCTAAACTCCCTTTGTCTGTGAATGAGAACTCATTCTTAGGGTAAAGGGCACAGGTGCCTCACCAAAGAGGTGTTCATTGCAACAAACTTTCAATGTAGCCATGTCTAAAACTTTGTTGTGATACTTTTCAAATGGAAATGTCTTCCCGAAGTTTAACTGTACTTAAATATGTAAGAAAAATAATCTGCCTGTTCAAACTCAAGAAATTTTTCACTAAGTGCTGGCTAAGGTGGTACTCAATGAGTTTCATTCTTAACTTCATGTGGAATTCAGTCCTAGGAATGGCTAAGGAAGTTTTCTTATAGAGATTGGCTTTAATACTTTTATAAAAGGAAAATAAGTCTAAATTTTATATACAAATTCCACAACTCCACAGAAAATATTCTACCCTTTCCTGGGTTGTACAGCTCAACTGTCTAAAGTTGCTATTATCAATGAACTTGCATTAAATATTTTCCAACCATTGAATATATTGACTACCCTCATGTATAAATTAGCACATGAAGCATAAAAATATCTCTCTTTTCTCTATTAATTCTTAATCTCAGGATTAATAAAGTCATTGGGTATGGTAAAAAAATAACAAAAAGTAGCTTAAAGTGTGTAAGAATAGGCTGATAATTAAATGTATAAACATGTAATTTTAATTTACTATAGTATACTACACATATGACTCAACTCTTGTTTAGAAAAATATGTCTACTACATAAAACTGTAAAACTACAGATGTTTTTAAATAGCCGCCCCTGGCTTTCCTCCACCTTGGCTGGTGACCTTATCAAGACATAAACAGCCAGGTGGCTAGCAGCCATCTTTATGAAGATTAAAAAACACAAGCCATGCAACTTCACCTTCATCCTGATTTAGATCATCACTTGGTGTAAACCAACTCAGGCAGCACCTATAAAATTTCTTAGTTCTACTATGCCCTTTAGGTATTATTGTATCTTCTTTGTAGACTAAGCAGACAACAGCAGCTCTCCACGGTATTGCAGATTAGGATGGATTTTTATATGACATTAATTTCCTAAGGTTATAATGGTATACTTAAGCTTACAAAAACCTGAGAGAGATAAATATATCTAACCACTTATGTCTTTGCTAACCATATGCTTAACCACTTACTTTTGTTAATACTAGACTTCTAAAATTTTTAAAGTAGAAAACAACAAATGTTTGACGAATGATGTATAAATTCCTAAGGTCTATTCAGGTTAACAGAATTGGTCTTAAAGATATATGTCTAGCATCTTTGACTTTACAACTATATTTTTAGGTTAAAGTTTGACTTTAATGCTAATGGGTATAAAACTATAAAATCCCAATTTTCTAAAAGCTATTAACTTTTGTACATTGTGAAAGATAACTAAGCCATAGAAGTTAATGGTTAGTCACCTTACAAATGATTCAATTCTTCAATGTGCTCTCAACTATGGTTGTAGTCAAGCTCAGCACAAACCTAATTCATTTACAAGAACAGGCTTTAATCTTCTATACATGTTTTCATATGGAGAAGTAAGTAGGTACAAATAAAGTATGTTTAAAATCAGGTATACTTAATAGATGGTCCTCAAAATCCTTAGAGATAAATTGAATATGTTTTTTAGAATATGAAAATGAGTGACACAGAGGCCATCTGCATTATTCCTGCTCTAATTTATCCTTCTCAGATCTCTGGTTTTGATGGAAAAGTGTAGCTTTTTCAGTTGAACAGCAACATTAACAAAATTTGAACTTTGTCTTTAATTACTAAAATGTGTTTTAATTTATATTTTTATAAGCACAAAAAATTTAAAATAAAAATGTAATCAGATTTGAGATGGATTTAAAAAAATAATAAGGAATCAAGTAGAATTTTAAAAAATAAAATTATTTCTTCTGGGCAGTATGATGTCTAAGAAATGCAAAGAAATTGCATATTTTTCAAATTTCTTAGAGGTCAAAAAGGTTAAACTGAAATTACAAGTATTAAAAGGTAAATTATCTTAAAACTTTAACCTACAATTATTTTTGGTACAGTCTGGGAATCTGTCCCACAAGACTGTCTGAAGAATGTAGGAAAAACTAAAGCTTCCAATCTGGATTTCCCTCTATGGAATTGTTATGTATTGACACTGATCACATTTTCGTATCATTTACAGCTGGATATATACTTTAATGTTGACTTGAAAAGCAGCAATTATTTTTTGTTTCAGAGTTTTCTATGGTTATTTCATAGCATCTTCTAAGTATCCTGTTACCTAATAGGGAAGTCTTCCTGAGCTCAAAATTGAAATTGTCCTGAATTTTAAAGATCCCTAATCTGAAGTTAATAAAGCTTTAGATATAAACTTTTAAAATTGAATGACAACTGTTAATTTAATAGACTTTGCTTGTTTTTTAGTTTAGTGCTTGCTAAACTGTCTTATAAATGATCAGACACTGGCAAGGGAGGGTGATTAAAGGAAGCTCACAAAAATCTATCCTCTATTAAAGGAATTATTTTCTATAGTTTGAAGGCATTATACTTTATTCCAAGCTTCTCATGCACAACTAGAAATGAACAGACATCAGCTTGACATCTGAAACTATGTCTGACCTTCTCTGCTGTCAGTTTTGCAGAGATCTGTGATAAAATTCACTAGAGGCACATACAGCGCCACTCACTGACTAGTCAGCTACAGAACACAGCACCAAACAGCACAGAGCTTTGGGAGCTCCAGTAAAGTAACCATTATATCATACCTGGAACTTGACTTTGTCAAAGAACACTGTGCATGTTCTTCCTAGGACTCTCAGTATAACCAAATACTAATAATGGTCTTGCTTATTCTGGCAAATAATTTGAGGAATACTAATATTAATCATGTTACTAAAATCTCTTACAACTCACAGGGCAATGCTCTTATGAAACACCATCAAACATTTAATTGGCAAATTAAAAACTTAAAGGGAGGTAGAGGGCTACACTCACCTATATCCCCACACAGTGTTATATTCAGTTATGCTACCTTTAAATTTTAAAAATATACACGTTAAAGAAAAATTCTTTTCTTCCTCCCTTAAAGCATTTCCCCTAAAGGGGATACAACCTGATCCATGCTGGTACATTCTGCAAATCAATGTATGCTAATACTCCTTTCATAAAATTGTTTCTAATCTCTGACATTAAATGTGAAATATATTCCAAAACTCAGAATAATAGTGATATTGAAACACAAAAATGACTGTTACTATAATGGAAGACAGCAGAAAAGTGTAAAATCATTTAAAGTACAGCTTTTTTAATGAGCAATTTCCTATTAATCAAAGCCAAACTATGAAATAAACACATAGTTTATTTATCAGCAGTGGAATTGTTTTTATTAACCTCTTCACTAACCTCCAGGCATCTCTACTTTCTCCAGCACAATCCAACACTGCCAATATGGAAGGGACCAATACGGAATGAAGCCATCCAGGAGGAAAAAGGAACTCATACTCACAAGTCAATCCTGCTCAGACATAACCCTGAATGCAAGTAGACTTACCCAACCCAATAAGTGACAGATTAATGCACCAAATTCAAAAGAAATGCAGCCAGGAAAGAGATAAATAGAGCTAAATGGTGACAACATCAGACTGTTGAGAACTGACCTGATCAACTCAGGCTTTCAGTGGGGGCCTGACAAATGGAAAAGGCCCTGGCCTTCTCATAGCCAGGTAGAAGCTTGGCAGAGCCAGTAATGGCTAAGAGCCAGAGCATGGGGACCTTTTTCCCTGAGGACTTGGTGTATAGGGAAGGAAAACAGCTCCTTCTCCAAGACCACAAATATGCTTGGAAACGCTTGTGGCCATGACCTTGGGGGAGCTGTGGCTTCAGATCCTGAGAACCCAAAGCTTCCCACAGGCTTGTGGTTATTAGTCTTAAGACTGCTGTGTGCTCCATCTGTAATATCCTTGAGATACATTGTGTTCCCTTTGGGCAACATTGCTTGATTACCTTCTTGCTGACTCTGCCCTACTGTATGATCCAGCCCAGTCATCCCTCTGGAAAGACTATATAAAATACCATAGTTTTTAATAAGCTTGCTTGGAATAGGTATAGCTTGTGCAAGACCCCCTGACCCCATACTTTGTTATCTTTGTTATGGAGTTTGTGTCCCCTGGGAAAAGACCATAGACTTGATCTGGATTATACTATTAGTTAAACTTACTAAAGCTGCTAGCAGGACAACACTTTCTGAGGCAAACTCTCTGAGGGGAGGGGAGGAAAAATCCACAAGAAGACCTTGAGTATCTGCACAAGTAGTCAAAGCGCTGTCCTGCTCTGCCAAGGTAGTGGGTAGTCAAAGTGACCTCAAAACTGTCCTTGAATGTCGGCACAAGCAGGTTACAGAAGCCAAAAAGCAGTCAGTCATATCACAACACACGAGTAGTTGAGACTGTACATTTGTTGTGGGGGGTTAATGGGAACTTAACTTCCAGAGACAAACATCTAGAGGGCACCTGCCTAGCATAAAATGGAGTTTCTTTAGCCAACCCAATCTTGTCTATATTTATTCCTCTTTATTTTCTGATCTCCTGGTTCTCTCTCTCAAGACCTCATCAGTATAGAATGATCTGTTGGACCAGGTCATCAAACATAAAGCAGATGAAGCTACAAAATCCTGAATAAGCCATCCTAACTGATAGAGGAGACTACAAACAAAAACTGATCAGAAGAAATGAAGAGAGCCACTACACATACATGAAAATGGACATAACTATATAACTAAGGCAAATGTTTCTCATCATCAGGTTTTCTATTCCGCCTAGATAACATTACAAGACATAGAAGATCAAACAGTTAAAAGAAAATGAAAACAGGCAATTTCTATATTGCATTTTCACTTCTAGAGAGGTCATCCAAACAATGTTCAATGGGCCCTCCAAGGTACTGACTGGGTTTAAAAGAAAACTACAGAACATTACACACAACAGATAAGGAATGCACATTCTGCTCACTGGCATAAGACGTATTCTCTAAAATGGACCACATTTCATGCCACAAACCAAGCCACAGTAAATTGAAAAAAAAAATCTTGTGCATCCTATCAGAACACATTGTAGTAAAACTACAAAGGAATAAGAAGACTAACCTAAGAAAAGAGACAAATAATTGGTGACTGAATGAACAGTGAGTAGCACTGAAGGATTAGAAAGTCTGTGGAATGGCTATACTGAGATGTTCTTAAGTGAAATAGCAAAAGGGTGTCAAGGGGGGGGGGGGGGAGTAAGATGCAATTCCAAGGTGGAAAAGAAGCCAAACAGAAATACAGATGACAATAAGAAACAATGAGCAATAAAAATGATAAAAGTTCAGGGCAGAATTCATGAGTTAGAGACTGAAGAATGACATACAGAATTAACCAAAGGGTGGTCTTCACTGAAGCTCACATGATTATATCCATCCACTCACCAAGCAAATCAGAGCAAAGAGATGATCGTAGGAAACTCTGAAACCTATGTTCCAAAAACATCAGAAAAGTTTAGAAGAAATAGATACATTTATAAATATTTATGGCACACTGAAAATAAAACCAGAAATATAAATACCCTAAACAGACCCATAACACTAAGGAGATTGAAACAGTAATTAAAACTTTCAAGGAAAGGTTAGTATCAGCACTTTTCAAACCCTTCCACAAAACAGAAAAAGATACACACTACCAAACTTATTCTAAGGAGCCACTGTAATCCTAAAATCAAGAGTGCACATGTACATGTGCACACACACACACACACACACACACACACACACACACACCCATACAATAGCCCTAATTAATATAGATTTTTCTTTAAAAGAAAATTATAGTTAAAATTTGACCTTATGTCTGGCTTCATCCCCGTTATGGAAGGTTGGCTTAACATATGCAAATCAACATATAATACTGCACAAAATAGACAAAAAAATGACAAAATAGTCTTCTGTAGAAAAGTCATTTGACAAACTTCCAAAAAGTTATGGATGGCAAAACTATAGGTAACCTTCAGTAAATAGAAAAATGTGAAAACTCTGTCATGAGACAAGGGTTCCTAATATCAATACTTTTTCAATACTATACTCAAATTCTTAACTAAAGAGGAAAATAGATAAGCAAAGGGAAAAATTAGAAAGGAAGAAATTCAAGTATGCCAGTTCACAGATGACACAAATGTACACTAAAAAATACCTCCTTGTAGCCTCTACCAAAATGTTTTAAATATGAAGGTGCTGGCTAGTTTTTCATCATCTGGACACAAGCTAGAGTCCTTTTGGAAGAGGGAACCTCAACTGAGAAAATGGCCCCACCAGACTGGCCGGGTGGACAAGTCTGTGATACATTTTCTTGACTGATGGTTGATATTGAGGTCCAGCTCATTGTGGGTGGTGCCATAACTGGTCTGGAGGTCCTGGGTGCTATAAGAAAGCAGGATGAACAAGCCATGGGGAAGTGAGCCAGTAAGTGGCACATAGTCACCACAGTCTTTAAAAGTAGTTGTTGTTTTGTTTTGTTGTTGCTGCTGTTTTAAGGAAATCTGTCTGGGAATGATTACAACCAAAGAGATGAAGGGTTTCTATAAGCAATATTTGAAAATATCAAAAAGCACCACTTTGAGGAAGACATTATGAGACAGACATTACATGTTCTGGGATTTGCAAAGCCCATTTTGTAAAAATACGTAGAATAATAAAACCAATCCACACATCCAATGACAAAGAACTAGAAAAATACACAACTTATATGTGAACAAAATGACCACACATAAGCAATTTATTAAGAAAGAACAGTCAAATGTATCCCATCACTTAACCTCCAAGTATACTACATAGCCATGGTGATAAGGACTTCAAGGCATCATACAAAACAACCATGTAAACAATGGAAGTACCACCAAGACAGAAAACACTGAGGTAAAGGGCACAAAATATTTCTAAAAATATGTACCAGAATAGACAGCCTCTTCAACAAATACTGTTGGCAAAATTAGATATGAAATCAGATGCCACTTTGCTTATTTTACACAAAATGAAAGATAATTAGTTTAACACTGAAGTGCAAATATTATCATAGTAACTAATAGCACAGACATGTACACATTCAAACTACACATGGCACATTTTTTTCTTTTTCTGCAAAAACGCAGGAAAAAAGTGACATTCGTTATACATAAAGTTGTATGGATACTATATCTGTGACTGTGTGTGCATGGCTGTGCGTGCAAACAGAAAACAGTTTATAAAGAGAATAGAGTGATGAGGGCCCAGAAGGGAAAGGGGGGTAGGAAGAAAACACTATGGTGCATACATGTCAGATATTGAATGGACACTTTTATTATTTTTATTAGTAACTTTTCCAATTGCTGTGATAAAGTACATGAGCAAATTTAAAGAGAGTTTAATTTGGCTCATGGCAGAAGGCTACACCTGCCACTGTGGTGGCTTGAATAAGAATGGACCCATAGGCTCATGGAAAGGTTTGGTTCTCAGATGGTGTATTGTTTAGAAAAGATTATGAGATGCGGTCTTGTTGGTGGAGGAGTGCCATATGTATATGGTTTCTTAGCAAAATAAATTCTTGTGATATATGAAGAATAAACAGTTTCTCTTATCACTTGAATTTTCAGGGTTTCTCTACATATAAATTTAAAATGCAGGCGATTAGAATCACTGGAGTCACTGTTCAATAGCTATCCAATAACTTTGCCTCACAAAGTTCCTTTCTAGTATCAGTTATTAGGTGTTTAATCAAGCACAATTTTTAAAAAATCGTCATATTCTTTATGTGAATAGGGCTTTTTCTCCGATGGGAATGCTCTAGTGTCCAGTGAAGGTTAAACAAACCAAAAGGCTGTGTACAGAGTCTGCTGACGACTAAAATAGAAGGAAGAGTGCAAAGCCTTCCACATTCATTGCTCTCTTACTTTCATTTCTTCTCCCATGGCAAATGCTGTGATCACAAACAACTTAGAGGGAGAGGCTTGTTTCAGCTTAGAGGTTACAGGGAAGTCAGAACAGAAACTAGAGCAGAAACCATGGAGCAGCTATTCTCAACCTGGAGGGTCAAAAGATTTTCTACAGGAGTTGCCCGAGGCCACCTGCATATCAGATAGTAGTAGGAAAATTACAGTTATGAAGTAACAATGCAATAATTTTATGGAACTGTATTAAAAACGAGGAACTGTTTTAAAGGGTCACAGTTTTAGGAAGGTTGAAAACCATTGCCACAGAGGAAAACTACTTACTTGCTCAGTCATAGTTATGTAATCCCAGAATTCTTATATTGCCTTGAAAATTTGCCCTGGATTGGTGTTCCTTACCTTTTGACAGACTAATGTACAATCAAGAAAATGCCCACAAAGATATGCCTATAGGCAAATCCGATCGAGTCAAATTCCTAGTTGAGAGTCCCTCCGTTAACGGAAGGCTGTATGAAGTTGACACTTGAAGCCAACAAGGGCATCCACATCTGCAGTTTCTCCCCTATGTCAATTCTTTGGTGTCGATTAAAGACCTGAAGTATTATTCAAGGCTTTGGCACAGTGTTTGTACATGGAGAGTGTCTCTGAAATATAACGTCTCTGGGGATACTTACAGTGTGAAGAACAGGTAAAGAACTTGCCACATTGTTTTTGTAGATTTCCTCATCAGAATGGATTTCCCCATGCTTACACAGACACGAGGAATAGCTAAACCCTGGTCCTTTCCTGCACACGTGTAGGGTTTCTCTCAGGTGTGAATTGTGTGAGGTCAAGCAACAACTGAGTGACATATAAAACATGTGCAACAATCTTCACATTTTCAGGCTAGCTGTCTGAACACTTTTGTGAGCTTTAAGTTATAAGGAGCCTTTACAAGCTCTTTCGGCATCTTTCACATTCAGACGGTTTTCCCTCGAGACGAATTTTCCGGAGGTTAGAGAATGTCGTTTGAATAGTGAAGCACTCACCGCATTCTTCACAGGTGTACTGCTTGGTTCTCTTATGGGTCCTTGCATGCTGAGAAACGTCGGAAGGACTGGGAAAGGCTTTGCCACACTCCTCACACTCGTAGGGTCTCTCTTCAGAATGAATTCTTTGATGTCTTCTAAGATCTGAAGAATAGTAAAACATTTTGCCACATTCTTTGCATGTGTAGGATTTCTGTCCGGTGTGAGCTTTCTTGTGTCGACTAAGGTGGTGACTCCTACTATAGGCTTTGCCACATTTTTCACAGGTATAACGCTTCTCTCCAGTATGAACAACTTTGTGTCTGCTAAGGGCCGAAAGATTACTGAAGGGTTTTTTACATTCTCCACACTTGTAAGGTTTCTCTCCAGTATGAACTCTTTGGTGTTTTGTAAAATCTGCAGGACTGGAAAACTTTTTGCCACATACTTCACACTCATATGGTTTCTGGCCAGTATGAATTTTCTGGTGGTTAGTGAGTGTAGAAGGCATAGAAAAGGCCTTGCCACATACGTCACACTTATAGGGCTTCTCTCCAGTGTGAATATTATGGTGGTTACTAAGTGTGGAAAGCATAGAAAAGGCCTTGCCACATATGTCACACTTGTAAGGCTTCTCTCCAGTGTGAATTTTCTGGTGGTTATTAAGTATGGAGGGCAAAGAAAAGGCCTTGCCACAGATGTCACACTTATAGGGTTTTTCTCCGGTGTGAATTCTCAGATGATGAGTAAGAATTGAGTTCTTAGCGAAGGCTTTGCCACATTCTTTACATTTATGGGGTTTCTTTCCTGGTGAGTAAAAGGAAATGGAGAAAAGCTTAGAAATATTTGTCATATTTATAATGCTTATCTTTAACATGGAAGCTTTAACTCATTTTCATGATAAATACGAAATTATAATATGGATAACATCTATATCTACTGCACCTATATTTAGAAAATACAATAGGTGGAAATCATTTAAACTTCAATTGAAAGAAAAACACAACAAAACAGGATATAGAAATAATGGAACATAATTCAAATTTAATAGCTACAGAGGTTGTAACATGGGTAGTAATTGAAACTCTTCAGGTATTATGCTAACAGAAAGAAATCCATTAAACAATCAGAGAAGCCATATGAGTGTATGCATATGAAATGATGATGATGCCAAACAGGATGGACACGGAAAAAGACAAAGTTTTATACTAAGTATGAAGTTTTAGTTGTAGAAGGTAGAAAACAGGCTGCCTAACAAGAGGACTGTTTATAACACCATTAAATAATATCTCTCATCACTGCAAGTTAGTAGACTTTATAATTTAATGACAAAAGCATAAATATCAGAAAAATAATATTAGGAAAAAATTCAAGTTCTGCTATGAATGACATAATTTTGCTAACAACAAACTAAGTTCACACATTTTAAAGAACTATTCATTTCTAAGAGAAATAACCACTGAGTAAACAATGAAGAGATAAAATATACAAGGCAGGAAAATATGAGGCCCCTATTTACACATGTGAGTGGAAATGCACAATTCTGTGATCACAGAAACAGATATTTTAATAGAGATTTCTTATAGATGTCAAAAAATCGTAATAAAATGTTTAATTTTAGTTTACAAAAATGTATGGAATACATGCAAACAGATGATTTCAGGCACCCTAGAGAGCAAAATCATAATAGAGAAAATGGAACTGCAAAATGAGGAACACAGAACCTCAAACTCACACAGGGTTTCTCTGTGGCTTTGGAACCTATCCTGGAACTCACTCTGTAGACCAGGCTGGTCTTGAATTCACAGAGATCCACCTCCCTCTGCCTTCCGAGTGCTAGGATTAAAGACATGCACCACAACTGGCTCGAACTCACACAATTCTTAACTATTCTAGGCTTGTAGTTTTCACCCATGACTTCCTACCTACAAAGGGCAGGCATGTTAAATCACTGCCAATGTGTGGGATAGCATATGAAGATGGATACAAGGATTCAGACAGTGCTCTGATAAGACAATGCAATTAACATAAAGAACCCTGACAGAGCCGGGCGGTGGTGGCACATGCCTTTAATCCCAGCACTCAAGCAGCAAAGCCAGACGGATCTCTGTGAGTTCAAGGCCAGCCTGGTCTACAAAGCAAGATCCAGGACGGCCAGAAAGACAAAGAGAAACCCTTACATGAAAAAACAAAACAAAACAAAATGAAAAAGAAACATGACAGAAAAAAGGGTGGGTATTCTAATCAGAGAAGGGGAGGGAGGTAGATACAATAGAAGGAGGCAGGAGGCAAAATAACAGTAAGGTTGTTTTAAAAATTAATAAGGACTCATACTATTAACTATCTACCTAAAAATTTATGTAACTTAGTACATGGAAATCTGGGTATAAATATGTAGATAAAATTTAAATAAGGTTTCCCCACCTGGGCTGACAATGCTGTCTCCAAGAGCAAAGACCCTGAACACCACCCATGAGAAACCCTAAACCCTCTCTTTGCCGTGATTAGTCAGGGTTCTCCAAGAGACTCCCAAAACATACAAATGATTGTTAATGCCTTTGGTAGCTTATCAAAGGCATTAAAGAAGGTGACTTCTTACTGCTGAAGACACCATGTACTTAAGACACAGGGGCCAGAGGCCAGACAGCTGAAAATGACCCGAATGCTTTCTCCCTGAGGACTAGTTCTGGTAACAGAAGGTGCCACACAAGCTTCCAGAGAAAGGAAGCAACCAAAAGTCCTACCCAGCACCAATGCCTATGGACCCCACCAATGACCAGCATGGCACAGCAACCCTTAGTGGTGCAGTACTGACAAGCAACCCTTGGTGGGCACCAACAGCTCCCCAATTTAGGACTCACTCAACAAGAGAGAAATCTTGCCTGGTATTGGAAACACAGCCAATTATGCAGGGTTAATGAAATCATGGATCTTGGAGAGGACCCTCCAGAGACCACTCTTCTAAACTAGCATAATCTCTAACACTACATTCTAGATGCTTGTCCTTTTACTAGCAGGGAAGTGTAGTCCTTGCTCCTCATCAAGGTCACTTCTCTTTGCAACAAACTAGAGACTATTACAGAAAACCGAAAATGATCAAAATGTGGAGTTGTGGAGCCTAGTCCCTGTGAATACATCTCCAGAACAACCTCTGCACATAAAGCTCGGGGAACACTGTGGAACAGGGTGTGAAAAGATTTTTAGGAGTCAGAGCATCAGGGAGTTTACCATGAGATAGTATCTCCTGGGAATGTCAGAAGTTACACTCCAAGTCTCACCAACTTGACTGCTCAACAAGAGCTAACAAGGACAACAAATAGACAGGCCAGGGTGGACAGGGGATACCCACAGGTCTTCAACCCTACAACAGAACTAGAGGCAACCACAAAATGTGGAGAGGAGAAATGGTCTTCCTCGGGGAAGAGCATACCAACTGGTTATCCAACACCAAGTGTTCAGTCCTGAAATCATATATACAGGTAACATACAGACTGAGCAGTTTATTTAGAAATATAAGCATATATACATACATGCGCGTAACAACAACTAATTAAAAAGAAGGCCACAAATTTGAAAGAGAGCAAGGAGGAGTATACGGGAGGGTTTAAAAGGATGAAAGGAAAGCAGGGAAATGAGATAATCTCAAAAGTTTCCCTCTGACTCCCTGTTGGAACTGACTCCATTCTGCCCTCTGACCACTCATTCCTACGCACCTGGGGGCCCTTGCCTCTTCACATTCCGAAGCTCTGGGTTTTTCTCCAGAAACCTGACCAGTAATGGCTTAGAGAAAGAAAGGCCTGTGTGAAGGGATGGAGAAGAGAATTAACATTTTCATTCCACTATTGTGCTGATAAGGGGGGAGGGAGGGAGGACACAATAAATGACTGTAGAGACAGCTGGGGTGATGGCTCAGTAGTTAAGACCACTGCCTGCTCTTCCAGAGGTCCTGAGTTTAATTCCTGGCCATCTAAAATGAGATCTGATGCCCTCTTCTGGCATGCAGGTGTATGTGCAGATAGAGCACAACATACGTAAAAAAATCTCAAAAAACTATTTAAAATAAATAAATAAATAAATAAATAAATAAATAAATATATGACTGTGGAAAATTAGCTCTTCAAATGAATAGGCCTTTTAGAATACTTCCTTAGGGGGAATCTGTAATCACAAATCTTCACTTCTGTCATTTACAAGGAAAAACTATAAAATTAGAAAAAGAGTAAAACATTTTCTTTTCTGCCTGTGCCCCATTTAATTTCTCACATTGTAGTGACAGTGAAGGACCTCACAAACAGAAGGAAAGCACTAGATGGAATTTGCCTTAGTTACATCAACAATTCTTGAAAAGGGGCCTGGGCATGGTGGCTCATGCCTTTAACGGGAGCACTTGGTAGGCAGAGACGCACATCTCTGAGTTCAAGGTTAGCTTGGTCTACAGAGTGAGTTCCAGGACAGCCAGAGGAGTCTCAAAAGACACCAACAAGCGGGCTTATATGAACATCGTTAGAAAGTGCAAGCTCCCCTGAGACGGTCTATAAAAGGAAGATACACGCTGACAGTGAATTAGGAATTCACTGTGGATGAGATCCTCACCCAGGTACACGAGGTGGCTGTAATTCTCCAGCATTACATTCCTGTACAGACTCCACTGATCCCTGCCCAAGCATTCACGCTCCTCTGCAGAGAAATCAATGGCCACATCCCTGAATGACAGCATTTCCTGAAATAAAGATCAATGAATGAATACGACACAACAGACTAATTAAAACCACTAATTAAACTAATTAAACCCATTAATAGTAATAATACAAATACCAATAGGCATCATGTGTTTGTGAACACCACTCTAAAATTTACCTCAGGTAAAAGCAGAGCTAGCAATGCCTGTGACATGGGTTAAAGATGTTGCTAATTTATTTTATGATGAAGTCACATGACCTCAGTACCCATCTACAGAGAATGGCAAAACATCCTATTAAGTGCATATGGCTGTTATACAATTAAGAGTGTTAAACATAAAATGAATACATCTAGCAGGAGATGAAAATCATATGCCTGTATTATGCGCCACACTTCACATACATCTCTCATAGAGGAGTCACACTGTGTGAGCCGTTACTTCTCAGCAGTTAACACACAGGACAAGGTGAAGTGAAATTAAAACACAGACTCTGGTGCAGATGCTGAGGTCTGAATTTCCTACTATGTACAGAGTTTGGCAATGATACTGAATTTGTAAGAGTTTGGAAGTACTCCCCTTTCTGTTTCTCTCTCTAATGTTTTAAGAACTGGCTATTGACTGTCTTTAAAAAGCAGGGTACAATTCTGTGAATCTAGCTAGGCTTGTTTTCTTTCTTTCAGGAGGTGGTTGTTGGTTTTTGTGTGTGAGAGAGAGAGGCGGCTTTGAATTACTGCTTCAGTGCCTTCATTTGTATGGTCGGGCTGCTGACCCCTCTTAGTCTAGCATGGTATGGAGGAATCTCGACATGTGAGCATTTCTTTTATATTTTCCAATGGAATGGAGGACAGGTTCTCAGTGTTCCCTTTTAAGACTCTGGGTTTCTTTGGTGTTTGCCGTAGCGTTGCCCTGTTTATCCCTGGTCCTCTTAATTAGACCATCCTTTTCTTTCCTCTGGTCAGCAGAGCTGACAGTTTGTCTCTCTTCTCTCCAAAGAACCAGCTCAGAGTTTCATTGGTTGTCTTTATAGTTTTCTTGGGTTCTGATTCCTTATGCTCTGACTTTTTAATCATTTTTGTCTCTGGATATGTGTTTGGTTTGTTGTTCTTTTGCACAATTCTTGAGTTGTGTCATGAGGTAATTTGTGTTCTTTATGATTTTTTAACATATACTCTTAAAGACATAAATTTCCATTGTAGATCTACTTTAATTTCATTTAAGTTTCAGCAATTTTTTTGAAATCCTTAAGATCCTGGGGCAATTCACTCCAAGTTCTAACAGACCAGAGATCCCAACCTAGCCTATACTATACTCAGCATAACTATCTGATAGAATAAAAGGAGAAAGTAAAACTGACTCTACCGGACACCAGGAATGCAAGTAGTTTACAGACATACATGAAGGCAAATACTCACTGAAAGAGAGACTGAAAGAAAACAGCCATGGAGAAGGCTAATGGATCTCCAAGTCACAAGTAGAGTGAAGTTATTTAATAGAAAACTCGGTATTTTATACTTAAAAAAATGGACATTGACAAAAGCATCTCCAAATTGAGAAATGAGAACACCCCCCCACACACACACACACACTGTCCTTTAAAAGATTGGCAGATGACAGCAAGTCCCAGAGCAGAGAGAAGAGGACACAGTCCTCTGAGAGAATTAAGAGTATCCCCAATGGAAGAAAGATCTGCAAGGGCCACTCCCTAACCCACAGGCCACCACTGCTCACCATGGGAAATGTCTGCTGTGCTCAGGCCCCTCTCCTCACCGTGAGCTGGCTGCCTGTGGGTGCAGGGCACCATAGTGTCACTTAGGTGGGTTTTAAAAGGAAATATGTCAAGACACTTGAGACTGGCAAAGGCTACTTTTAGGTGGAAGAAATGCATTTTTTTTTCTGGACTGGGAGCAAAATGTGATTCCTTAAGACTTGCTGAACATTGACACATCCCCCAATCAGAATATGGAGTCTCATTTCCTCCTCCTCCAAGGGAGGCTGGCCCCAGACACAGGCCTAGAGCAGAACAGAGGGTGTGTGTGTGGGGGGGGGGGGTACGTTATGAGAACTTTCGCACTCCTGTCTATGTGCCTTTAGAGGTATTTTGTGAGAGAAGCCCAGACTAATATGACTGCTCTCCTCTAGCACAGGCCCAACTCCTCCCGGACACTGCTCCTGCCCCCTCCTTGTCGCTCCCTCGTTGTTCTCGAATATGAGATGGGAGTTTTTATAAACTTGATTAACACGGGTACTACACTGCTTCAGAGCGCAGCAGGGACCGGAAACTCTACTTTCCTCTCTGGAGACGCTGAGAAACCCGACTACAGTCCTTTAGAAGGGGTTCGGCAGGTGCCATCCTGCACGCTTCCCCGGGCAAGCTGGGAAAGTGAACTCGCAGCACAGCCTCGGGTGCCTGCAGCCTGCCAGGGAGCCAGATCCCGGGTGGACTGGAGCAGCCTCGGACCCAGCAGCGTCCCCATCGCCCTCTCCCCAAGCGAGCTCTGACCTAAACCCGGACTCAGCGGTGCAGCCTAGGTTCGGACAGTACCTCCCAGGTGAGCTTCTTCCCACTCCCCATGTGCCTCGCGTCCACTCCTTGCACGAGGCACCTGCGGGCTCACCCTGCACAACCCCTCAGGCCTGGGGCGGGGGGGGGGGGGTGTTGCACTGCAGCACCTGAACCAACCTTCTTTACTCAGAGATCCGACCCCAGCAGGGGAGAAAGAAACTTGAGCCCAAACTGGAGAGGGGGAGCGGTGTGGGAGCGGGACATGCGCAGGAGGAACTCAGAAGGCGCCGCGTCGAGCCTCGCTTGTGACATCACAGCGGGCGAGACTACATTTCCCATAAGTCCACATAAGGGACACCCGGAGTCGCGGGAGGCGTGGGACAGGATTGAAACGCGCAACCTCTGCCGCTAGAGGGAGACGCACCGGGAGTCAGGCTGTCCTTAGCATCCTCAGCTTGCAAGCTGAGATGTTTGGATGTTGAGTGGAGGCCGGGCAGTACAGTTGATTACATTTATTACTCATTTTTTGGTCACTTTCTTGTGATTTCACACGCAGGTCGGCTTGTTATGGAAACTGTCTACAGAATTGGATTTTTTTTCTACCTTGAGATGATTACAAGGGACTCACATGGGAAATCACTGTCTACTAAGCCTCTGAAATGAACTATGAGCAGAGGCCTGGTGCCAGAGGCCCAGGGATCACAGCTCCAAGGTGTGCCTGATCTGCAGAGTGAGTTCAAAGCTGACCTGGGCAATTTACGAAAGCCTTAGATATGCTCAGAGGTGGTGTGCGTGCACCATTAATTCCAGCAGACTGGTGTATCTCTGTGAGTTCAAGGCCAGCCTGGTCTACAGCACGAGTTCCAGGACCACCCAGGAGATGCTAAAGAAAAAAAGCTTCATGTAAACGTAAAACAAGCTTTTTTTGAAAAAAAAAAAAAAAAAAAAAAAAAAAAAAAAAAAAAGGAATGGGAGGTAGCTGGGTGATGGGCTGGGTTCCATGAAATCAGGTGGGCCTTGGTTTTAGTGCACAACACTAAAAGCAGCACCACAACAGAACCAAACTCTTTTGGGGGTTGCAGTGTGGAGAGCAAGCTCTGCTGTTGCAGTGTTACAGTCTGGGGTGGGGGGAGTGTCTTGATCTGTTTCAGTTTGTTGTTTTCTGCCAGATGAAGAATTAAAAGGGAAAAACAACCTTGAGTGCAACATGTAGCATTGGGGAAAATCTCTACCAGGATAGAGAGAATCCACAGGAACAGAAAGGTTTTATTAGGACTGTGGAAAGGCAACCACAGCAGGGCATACAGAGGGACTCCCTGATGAGCTGAAGCTGTCTCCCCAGAAAGGGCTTTGGGGTATTTTTGAGGAATCTTCCTCCCCCAGGTTGAGTTGATCAACAGGGTGAATGTGGTAGGTGCACAACTTTGGGGTAAACATGTTTTCATCCTTGAACTTGTAGGGCTGATCCACGAGCAGGCTTTTGTCTCTTTTCTTTCTTGGGGGGGTTTATTTGCTTCTTCTTTAAAGACCTTATCATATGCATATGGGTTATTTTAAAGTCATTTATCTGTACTTCATCTATATTGGAATATCCAGGACCTATTATGGTAGGGTTGCTGCTATAATGGAGACATAATGTCCTGGCTGTTGCTGATTGTATTTTTGAACAGGCATCTGGTATTGGGAAGATTGTAATTCTATCTGGTCTTGTCCTAGTTGAGTAGGTGTTTTGTTCCCTGGTTTCTGTCTCCTTCTCTGTCTCTTTAGGGAGTGTGGTGGCTGTGTGTTGCCTGTAGGAAGATCACCTTGGGTCCTGAAAGGTATGGACACTGGGGGTTCAACGTAAAATGTGTTTCTGGTTATTAGGACCTGAGACTTAGGCATGGGGAAGGGCTGGAGGTGGAGGAGAAGCTTCAGAAGTGTGTGTGGGGAGCAAGAAGTTCCTCAGGATCTGCTTAGTTAGGCCTCTGGATGTCGGGGCAGAGGGTGAGCACAGGCTGAAGCAAAATGTTTGCTAAAGAGCTGGGGATAAAACTGGGAGATTGGATTTGGAGGAATGGAGGGGGAGATGAAGATCTGCAATTAGGCTACCTACTTCCCTGGCTGGAGTGGCCTGTGGGTTCCTGGAAAATGCCTGCTGAAGTCTGGGAGTGGGAGAAAGCAATGGGTATGGTGGGAGGGGGTTGGGAGGGGAAGATCTGTGTAATCCAATGGAGAATGGGGCATTTATGCACATAGCCTGCCACAGAGCTAGCGATGAAACTGGGGCACTGGGATTGAGGAGCTGAGGGAGAGGTGAAAATATGCTGCTGTTTGCTTCTTATTAGGCTCTTGTAAATGAAGTTTATTTTTTTTCCTGCTTACTTTCTCATCTTGTCAGTTGTTGGTATATATAAAGGCTAATGATTTTCTTAATAATTTACTTATATTTACTGTCTTTGCATTGGTGTTTTGCCTGCATGTATGTCTATGTGAGGGTGTTGAAACTGGAGTTACAGATAGTTGTGAGCTGCCATGTGGATGCTGGGAATTAAACTTGGGTCCTCTGGAGGACTGGCTGGTGCTCTTAACCATTGAGCCATCATCTCTCCAGCCCAAGTTCTTTTAACGTTGGGAGACAAGTTCAGTGTGCATCATAGCTGAAACAAAGTTCTAAATAATAACTTAAAGTTAGACTTTTGTTTTGTTAATGGCTTTGAGGTAGAAAATCTTGGGGAACAACTTAAAGTATAGAAAGACATATAGCTGAGTAAGGGATTCATTGAAGTCAAGAAACAAGAACAATAACAGCCTGGCCATTACTTTCTTGCTAGGATCGGTTGGTGATCAAAAGTGATGATTAATTCCTTGTACCCATTTCTGCCCTCAGCTTCCTGTTGTAGAATACTATTTTAAGGTGTGTTACTTTTGTTTATGCTCTGAAACATTTGTTCAATGATGCAAAGATGTGTTTGATTAAATAAAATTCACCTGTGGTCAGGAGGCTTCGTCAGCAACTATCTGACAGGAAGTTGTAGGGAGGAGCCAGGTGGAGAAGGGTTTTTAAGTAGGGGTAAGGAGAAGAAGGGGGGCTTTTGGGGAGACAGGAGAAGGAGAGGATGTGAGCTGCTTGCTATGCAGCCTCTCTGAGTTGCAGAATTCCACCTCAATCTCTGAATTTTGAGGGTTGTTTTTCTGGGGGGGGGCAGGATTTCTCTGTAGCTTTGGAGCCTGTCCTGGAACTCACTCTGTAGACCAGATTGGCTTCAAACTCACAGGGAATCTGCCTGTCTCTGCCTCCTGAGTGCTGGGATTAAGGTGTATGCTATCTCCCCCCTGGTGGAACCTTGAGTTCTTTAAAGGGACACAGATTTAGATCAATTCCCTTCCTGGCTTTGAAAGATTCAGTCTCGGCTGCTGCTTTTGTGGCATAATAGCTGCTGATAACCTCAGAGTTGGCATTGCTGATTCAGAAAAGGCAGCAACAATTTTAAAAAGAGGACAACAGCTTCCTGATAAAAAAAACTATTGATGAATAGGTATGCACCCCGAGGACTTACATTAGAGCTGACTGTTCTTCAGATATAAAAGTTCAGATTTGTGATTCTTTTAAGATTTTTTATAAGATTACCTCTTGAAATAAATAGTAAAGTGATTGATCCTTTCTTTGTAGCTACAAAATGCAGCCTGCCAGTAAAGGAACTGGCTAAGAAAAATGTCTTGCTTGCTTACACTCTGTTAATCTAAAACAACTTGCTTAGACATGAACATATGTAGGTTCCTGCAGATAGTTTCACCAGAGATACGTAAAATGTTTAAGCATGTAAGGGATATGGAAAACTTGTTTTTTTTAAAGCTTCTGTTCATTGTAATCATTCACTTAAAAAATCAAAATAACCACATTGTAATTTTTATACTGCTTGAGAGGTTTGGCTGGGGGTATATAAGTTATAAGGAAAAAATTAAGAATAGATAGAAGGGATAAATCTGGATTGAGGTAAGAAAAGAAATAAAGGAGAGGAGAGAGATGACAGGTGACAGGAAGAGCCTAAAGGAGTGTGTGTGTGTGTGTGTGTGTGTGTGTGTGTGTGTGTGTGTGTGTGTGTGTGTTTCTCCTTTCTGCCATCCCCACTCTTTGTCCCCAGAGAATTGTCTTACTCCCTCAGATAGAAATCTATTGAGTCATTAGGCCACTGACTCCATGGCACTGTCTCACGACTTTGTTCAGTCAAGATGCAGGTTTGCCAAAGGTTCTCCGCCAGTACATATATCTTCCTATCTTCAGTATATAAAAACTCCTGTGGGCTACTGAAAATTAACCACACGGATTGCCAAGTTTGAGAGTGTGCTGGTAAGCATTTGCTGACTTGACAGCAACTATGGTAATCTGGGTAAGAAGAACCTTAACTAAGGAAATCTTTTTCAGATTCCCCTGTAGACAAGTCTGTGAATTAATTCCTTAATTAATGATTGCTTTGGTAGACCTCAGATCACTTTTGGCTTTTCTGTCCTGTGGTGATATATTGTTATTTAGGATTTATTGAAGCTTGCCTAAGGATTCAGAAAGCAAAACCAGCCTCAAACTATAGAAGTCAGGCAGTGGTGATACACACCTTTAATCCCAGCAGCCACAGAGCTAGGGAGTGGTGGCACACACCTTTAAACCCAGGATTTAGGATTAAGAGGTAGATGGATCTCTGGTAGTTCAAGGCAACGCTGACCACCTCACACAAAAGTAATCTCAGCTCACACAAAGGTGATCTCAGCATTTGTGATCACACGCCTTTATTCCCAGCACTAGGGAGGTGGAGAAAGGAGTGATATGGTTGGGTAGAGAAGGAATAGACAGGAGGAAGGTATCTGTCCCACGTTAGGTTGTGTCCAGTCAGGTCCGTACTGTCAGTACCATCAAGACAATATAAACAAACAAAGCACTCAGACAAAAGAAAGGGCCCATGTCAAGAGTTGCAAGTTTCAGATTTATAGTCAGGAGACAAACTCCCCAGTAGTTACTGAGATTCAGATGCTAAGTCAATCCAGCATCTAGCTGGATTTCCACCCAAATTCAGATTCAGTCTTGCCATCCCTCAGCAATAGCTATAAGGGAATTAATGTAGGAAATCAATACTGTTAAAGTGGAATGTTGTAAAGCATGAGGTATACCTTGGAATTCATGTAACATTGTTGAATGTGATGCAAAGAATCAAGTCATAGGTATCACAGTCATTCAGGCCACTCAAGTCTGAGGATATCAACTTGTTACAAAACCAAATTTATTGCATGGCCCAAGATATTGGAGATGCCTGGAGTCTGAAGGAAGTAAGTACAGGACCTGCTAAAGAAAGCTGCAGGCAATGGTTGGAGCATGCCTAGGAGAGACACCATGTATGTTTCAGGTGAAGGTGGAAAAGTGGGAGTCACCCAAGTCAACACCAGTGCAACAGAAGTCCCAGATGTCAAGACTGGAGTTATCAGCCTGGGTGTTTGCCTCCTGGATTTTGGTCTGATCCTTCCTTGCTATGCTTTGATTATTCTGTTTTATAGTGGAAATGTTTGTTTGTTCTGTATCAGTGTGTGGTGTAGTATGCTGTTTGTTTTTATGTTGTAGAACCTCACTTAAGACATTGCCTGGAGTCTCAGATGAGACATGTGCTGAGGTCTTTTAAACTCTTGAAATGGTTAAATACTTTGTGGGCCTGTCTAGTTGGATGCTATTTTACTTATGAGATGAATGTAAGGTTGGGGGAGGGG